GTAATTTAATAGAAGTAGGGGCCGAGTAAAAGTTGCGTTTTAGGTACCCAAGCATACGGTTAGCCTTGTTAGTAATGGAGTCGATGTGAATTTGCCAGCTAAGATTAGAAGTAATATGGACGCCTAAATACTTGTATGATTCGACAGTTTCGAGTAGACTACTATCAAGGTGATATGAAGGTAAGTTAGCGGAACAACGAGAGATTCGCATGAATTTGCACTTGTTAACATTTAGTGTCATATGCCACGTTTTGCACCAAGAAGTGATAGCGTCAATATCAGATTGAAGTGCATGCACGTCATTGATAGAGGTTATTTCGCGGTAAAGAACACAATCATCTGCGAATAGATGAATCGAAGATGATACACAGTTTGGTAGATCGTTAATATAGACAAGGAAAAGTAATGGCCCAAGTACAGTACCTTGGGGTACGCCAGATATTACAGGGTGAAGGAGAGAGCTGACTTCATTCGCGGTTACAAATTGCTGACGATGTGTGAGAAAGCATTCAAGCCATTTTAGTATGTTAATATCAATACCTATTTTTTTTTTTTTTGTTTTAGTAGCAGGAGCTGGTGAGATACCTTATCAAATGCTTTCGCGAAATCCAGATATATACAGTCGGCGGATGATCGGTTATCGAGTATAGATTGCAACTTATGGGTGAATAAAGCCAGTTGTGTCTCGCACGAAAAAGATTTGCGAAAGCCGTGCTGTGCGCGGTGAAAAAAAGAATTTGATTCCAGATAGTTCGCGATATGGGAGAAAAGTATGTGTTCTAGAATTTTGCAAGGAACGCTAGTGATTGATATGGGTCTGTAGTTGTAGGGTGAGTGCTTGTCGCCAGATTTGTGCACGGGAACCACCCTCCCTATTTTCCAGTCCTGCGGGAGCTCACCAGAATTGAGGGATTGCTGGAAAATTTTAGCGAGGGCGACAGAGGTATAGGCTTTCGTGTTTTTTAGGAATCCGCTCCATTGCAGGACAATGGAGCGGATTCTTAATAAAAGGCTCCTTGAACACCTAGAGCAGTATGGGCTGCTCTCACCCTGTCAGTACGGCTTTAGGCCCGGTCGTAGCTGTGAGTTAGCCCTGGCCGAAACAGTTCACACCCTAAGCTCTCACCTCGACAACCGCATCCCCTGTCAACTCTTGCAGCTTGACTTTAAGCAAGCTTTTGATAGGGTGGATCACAACATGCTGCGCCGCAGGCTATCCGAGATGGGCATTACAGGCTGCCTTGAGAATTGGATTTCTGACTTTCTGCGAAATCGCTCCCAGAGAGTTGTTTTCCGGGGCGCAGTGTCGAGCCCCAAACAAGTCATGTCGGGAATTCCTCAAGGAAGTGTTCTTGGGCCGACTTTGTTCAGCATTTTTTTCAACGATGTGACGTCTTCCCTGCAGTGCACACCCCTTTTGTATGCAGATGATTTGACAATTATGCACCCAGTCCAGAATCCCTCCCAGTATCAGCAACTTCAGGACGACCTCAACACCGTCCATGATTGGTCTGTGGCAAACAAGCTCCCCCTGAACATTAACAAATGCTCATCAACCCTCATCACCACATCAAGAAGCCATAACACCAGACAGCACAGCTTCCAGCTGAACGGAGAGGAATTCCCCGCCACTAACCGTGCAAGACTTCTTGGTGTGACAGTAGATTCAAAATTAACCTTTTCGCCGCACATTGGGGAGGTGACCTCAAAAGCCCGCCGGATGCTCGGATTTGTGCGTCGAGTCACCCGAGGAGCTGGCGCCAGTGCATTGCAGGACCTGTACACTGCTCTAGTGCTCCCGCAACTCGAGTATTGTGCTTCAGTTTGGGACTCTTACCAGAATTCACTGAAAGCGTCCCTCGAGAGTGTGCAGCGGCGTGCCGCCTACACAGTCTTGCGGTGCCAGGCTTCCCCTGGACTGCCACATTACCGCGACCTGTCCACGCAAGAACTTCTGAGGATGGTGGGGTTGAACCCCCTAGCACTTCGCCGGCAGGTAGCATCACTCCGGCTCCTTGCTGACAGCCTCCTCCCAAGAGATCAGGAGCTCCCGCTGGTTAAAAGCTTGCGCCTTACTAGATCTGGTGGGCTACAGCCACTGTTCGGTCGCACTGTGCGTCACCAGAACTCTGTCTTGGTGAAGTGTGTAACCCTCTGGCGCTCGCTGCCAAAGACGCTGACCGACTGTCCACCCCAGGAGAAGGAGGACCTTAAAGCCTGGTGCAAGGAGGCATCAGACTTTCTTCAGCAGTGATCTTCCATGGAAAAAAACGTTGCATGCTTCATTGTCATATTTATTTATTTATTTGTTTCTTTTTTCACAATATGTAGTAGTGCGGCACCACAGGCCACAGGTATGGGCCAATGGCCTTTCTGTGGTGCCGCAACCCTCCAGGGTTGAATAAAGATATTATTATTATTATTATATTATTATTACATCTGCCTTTATAGATTTAAATTTTCTTTCCCGGCCTTTTTGTAATGTGCGACAATTCCGCTGCTAGGTTCCAAGCGCAAGCTATTCGTTGAAGGATGTATCTCAGCTGTAAAGCTACGAGCTCGGGAATATCGCCTTCAAAAGTATATCACCATTAAAACAGCAGTATTTGTTGGAGTGTTGTCGTTAAAATCATCAGGAGAGCAACAACGGTCACATATTGAGCTTGGTAATTCCTGGGTAAATTCATCAGCTGGAACGGCAGTGTATTTGTTCTATTAAAATGCTATATTTGTTTTATGAAACATGTTAAAAATGCCAGCACGTTTGGCGGGGCGCTGTTATGTTAATTCCTATCGCATCAGGTCTTATAAACAAGTCAAAACTAAAGATATCACTGGCAAGGCTGTGAGTTTACAAAAACCATAAAGCACGAATTCTCTCTCTCTCTCTCTCCCCCCCTCCCCTCTCTCTCCCCATCTTACGTTGGTCCTCGACATCTCGGATGCGAGATATCTGGCCCCCACACTCAAATGAGTTATAGACCACCGTTTTAAAGCATATAAACAAGACCCGAACCGAAAGTGTTCTCGGCTCCCTATCATGGCGGCCGGAATGGTCCGAATACCATGTAGTTAGACGGTTAGACTACTTCCATAAAGCCCTGCATGCAACACGGCGCGCGTTGCACTCTGAGAACTAGTTGGCCAGGGAGGAGAGTGGCATGGTTTCAGTTTCGATCAACACGTCGACAAGAGATGAGATTACACACCGGTCGTTATCTCATGTTTTCTGGTCCCGAGAGCGTCATTTCTGGTCTCTAAACTAACCTAAATGGCCAGACTTCGAAGCTTTAGCACAAGCCCGAGACGGATAGCTTGTCTTAACACAGGCTTGTTATTTTTATACCTGAGCCTTTCTGTTTGCGTTTCGAGGTATGTGGACGAGCCAGTGCCGGGAATGTCGACGCTGCGAAGCTCAGGGATCTAGCTTATGTACGAATCAACAAGCTGTAGCAACCAATAAGTATGCATACATCGAGCTCGCGCCTTTACATTAGTGTTGTTTATCAGAAAGTTTGTTTGTTTCGTCCGTCCATAGACGAAATATTACTTTTTTGCATTACTGTTTTCTTAATACGCCTGTGTACGCGAGGTAAAACTCGAAGGCGCCATTGAAAAGCTTAATTATAACACACTTCTTATCTCTTATCTGTATTGACCCGCAGCACTGCACGAAGCGAAGTCCCCACACACTTGCATTTTACTAATATTCAACATCGCGTATGCGCGTCAAGTTATCCTGCAATCGTATAGGCTCATTCGCTCATGCAAACCGTTTTAAGAAAGCAAAAGTCGAGCACTTGTGTGAAAAATGTCGCGCCATTCGCCAGAAGTACGCCGGCCGGGCATGAACCCCTATGCGGTGCGCCAAACGAACGAAATTATTCAAAGTGCATTTGACGGTTGCTAATGGCCATAATATTTGTTATGTGTTTGCTTTCTTCCTGCCTGAGTATGCCGAGATAATTTCACACACACCCTTCATGTACAGATCTTGGGCGTCAATAAAAGCTCGTCCAAAAAGGCTTAGCGAGGAGTACGGACGCTTGTTAGGGCCTCCGTCGTAGCTAGCCGATCTCAGTGTTTGCGAAAACTTAATCTTCTATCAGCATAAAATTTGAGTGGGAGATATATGATGACACGAGGAAGACATCACTTTGGTGCAGTAGTGCGGTCGAATTTACTGGGCTCAACTTTGATACTCTTGTGAGGATGCGGCTTGCTTTTCGCCCAATGAAGTAACAAGAAGCGGACGTTTGGCAAACGAAATACGTGTAATGATACAGGTGACCGAATTTCACTTGTAGTTCACTGGTACTAAACGGGATTATTGAAATTGAACTCAAAGATGAGGTGACTAAGCCGTACGTCTTACTACGTTTGCATATGCACTCATAATATCCGGTGTTTCGGGAACCAAGGAAAGTGTCCAGGCCTTCGTTTTGCATCGCTCGAGAATGACTGTATTGTACATTCGTAAAAAAGTCAGATAATCCAAAACGCAAGCAGCACTTTCGGTCGCGGCGTGGTAGCATGAGATGAATCTGCTCAGTCGAAACCGAAACTGAATGGCCAACGAGTTCCCAGAGTGCACCGCGTGGTATTTCGCCGCAATGGGAGACGTCGCTTTTGGAAGAAGTTGACCCATTCAACCATTAATTAAATCGTTAATCAGCGCATCTTCAATAATTATCTAACTTATCTTGGCGGTTATCTCTTCTCATTTTCGCGCCAAGCTCGATGAACTCAGAGTAAAGGCCGTATCCACGGCAAATATACGGTTAACTTATTTTCGCGGCAAGATGCTCAAGGGATTCCAGATCTCCTTGTCGTAGCCACTATTGAAGAAAGCCTTCACAGCAGTTAATAGTATCGTCTACTCAACTCGAGTTCTTTTTTAATCAACAAAAGGTCGTCTGCAACGTAACGTCGTCTGCTATTTCCAGTGGCTATTTCCCGCCATCACTGCTATGTTTCTTGCCATAGCCCAAGACGAAGCCAATCCAATACAGTGATCGTAGGATCACTTGAGTACTACCGTCTCCGAGTGCTCTTGGTGCTCCGAGCGCTCCCAGTCCAGTTAGCGCCTGTTCCAGTTCTTCTTCGAAGATGCTCGGATGTGCTAGGCGCCTTTTAAGCGCACCGAGTGGGTCGTCTGAAATCTGTTGGCCGTGCACGGTGAGACGTAGCAAGTCGACGCGCCGTGGTGGCACTAGCGCGCACGGTGTGTACTGCATGGACCTGGTGAGGTATGCCGCGTGTGCGGTCCCAAGAAGCATACATTCACGTTTTTTTCCTCCTCAGAAAGCACGACCACGAGAACTACCTGTGCAGCCTCCTCCTGCCAAACGACGGACGAAGGACGGCTTTCGCGGTGCGCGCCCTCAACGTGGAGCTGGCGCAGGTGGGTTCCAGCCGTGCGGCAGCGGCCGCTAGAAGCGATCACGGCTGTCGGAGGATTATTCCAACGAAGGGGGGGGGGGGGGGACGGGACGATGCATCGGCGGATTTGCGGAGGGCATATCTACTGCCAGAAACCTTCAGCTAGTTTTGAGTATAGACCGTTTTATCGTGGGGAGCGCCATTTTGAGAGCGAGAGAGAAGAGGGGAAAGGGGCTACCGGCGCTTTCCTCCTTGCTGGTGCTTTAGAAAGTGTGAAAATCCCGGATGAGAGGCTTCGCCGGTGTTGGGTGTATGCATTGCCCGAACTTCGTTCCCGCTTTCTTCTCTGTTTTAAACTCCTAAGCTTAATTAGAGTCACAAGCTTGGATGGCGACAGTCCCTCGGTTATCGGGACACCATTGCTCGGTTTTAGGGCGCACGAATAACGACAGAAAGCATAGAATACTGTCCGAGGACCTATGTAGCTCTCACGGAATCTGACAAATGTGGCTGCAATGTCTTTAAGCTCCATCGCTTTCCACATGACCCCAATATCCGGTGGCAGTGGGTTGCATTTGTAAACCGAAAAGACTGTCTACGCAATGCAATCTTTACAGTATTTACACACGAGTCATCGTGCACCCTAATTTACATTTGCACACAGGTATGAAACAAACTCTATGCACTTCTTAGTCCAGATTCCCCAGAAGCTTTCTTGACAATGTCCTGTTGCCTAGTGCTCGTCCATACACGAATGTCCACACAATCGGGAACGCACCTCCAATGTGAAGCCGACGTGTCCTTTGATCTTATTCCTTCAGACATGGCACACCTATCCACACTAGGGTCCATCCTGGGCCGCTCTATCTGTCATGAACTCTCCTCGCATGCACTTGAAGTTAGACGTAGTAAGCCACATCATGGCTAAATCCTTTCATCGCCAATAAGCCAGTTGAGCTGGAGACATTTGCACTGGAAATTCACTGTCGGTCATTTGGCCTGCTCTTGTCGACTTCTTCACAAGCTGCACGAATCTTCAATAACAACAGAAATTGTGGTCCCCTGTTTACTTGCTTGGGTAGATGTTCACGGATATCCGATCGGTATCGCCAGAGCTCTTGTACGTTGTAGCACACGCTGCCTTGTACAATGACCATGAGGAGTCGCTCAGCCATTGTCATGTCGAAATTCTCTCGAAGCCGGTGCTGCCTCAGGTCTCAGGCCAGGCACAGAGTTCAGAGAGCAGCAAGGTGCACGATGCCGATGTCCCCGCCAAGTCCTTCTACGGCTATAGATGGCAGGGTTACGGCAGGAAACTTACAGGGTGATGCTATCCTGCACCTCCACCACCTGTTACGACCGTAACTTGTCGTAGGTCTTCCCCAGGAATCACTTTGGAGACAAAAAGTAACTGAGAGACAGGAGAGAGGAGAGGCCACTTGGTGCCATCTAGTAATTACTGACTACTCTACACCTGTGCGCTGCCCGCGCCTCCTGTTTACGGCCCATGCAATTAACATTTTTTTTTTTTTTAACAGCGGTGTCTACTCGCAACTTTCAGTGACAGTCGTACTGCGGTATTAGAATCGTCCTCCCTACCTCGTGGATAATCCACTTTACAATGAAGATGCTTACACTTTCCTGATGGAGAAGTTTCAAGTAAGGCCCTTACATCTCTCGTATCCAAAAATTCGGACAAACTTGCATATCACAGATCTAACCTCGTGCTGTTGTTTTACGGCAATCATCCAGATGGCAGCCAATTTTATACGCACTAGCGTGCCCCCTACGGGTCTTGAAAGTTGCTTATAGTTTTCGCTGTTCTATTGCTCCCAGACTTTGTTCTTGTTTGAGCTCGTGATTGGTTAGGTGGCAAAATATTTTATGCCTGCAAATTGTTTAGCCACTTCTTCTGAAAACAAAGCAACATCAGGACATACTGCAAGCACACTTTGCGTCATTTGCAAGTTATGCCACTTTCCTTCCCCAATGATAGGTCATTGGTTTCTTTTTGCATGCATCATGAAGAAACCAATGGGGTATCGCTGCCTGGAGCAGCGGCTCAGCTTTAAACATCATTCTTGCATTCGCTGGCAATGGGCAGCCATCTTGATAACTCTGAGGCAAAGCACTGGCCTACAAATACCCCGTTGGCAGGACTTCAATCCCATTCGAGGTCCTTATTGCGGTTTGCATAGCCGAGATTTCGGTTGCACATGAAAAGATCCCTAGGTCGTCGAAATTAATCCTTGAGTGTGCCTGGTGCCCTTTCTTAGCTTAGTGCTTAAAACTCAAACTTTTCTTTTCCACCTCAATGGGTGCTACAAACAACATGTGCAACATATCCTTGCTTCTGCTAGAGAAGAGCTTGAACATTCTTCTGCTCACTGTGGCTACCTGATCTTCGGGAAAACCACTAAATTGAGTGGAAGCTTTCGTACGTCGACTGATGGGGTGGCATTCTGTTGCTGTTTGGGACAGAAACGGAGCTTCGCCTACTGGAAACCGATTGGTAGTACAACCGCGGGCGAGATGTGTACCGAATATAGGTAGACCTTTTCTATGAATGCACTTGCTACTTTCCTCGACTAATAGCCAAGGAGCCTTTCTCTGTCTTGTACTTGATGCAGTGAAGCAGTTCAGGAGGTTGTGGGTGGGAGAAATTTGATTGCTCTCAGTCTTTGCTTTCAACCTGCACATACTTCGGAGATGGGATAACATAGCATCACTCTTTAGTAATGCAGTATGTGCATTTCTGTTGAACGTCGGAAAAAAACAACATGGATATAGGTCACCTTTGCCTGAATTGATGGATTTGGCTTCTGCATCCCCATTCGAGTGTGCGTTAAAGGGAAACTCCGCTTCATTCTCGGTTATTACCAAACACTGCGACTCTCTTTAGTGTCATCTAGAGAGACCGAATGTCAAATATTATAACGTAATACCGCCTAAAAGATCACTAAACCGGCCGACAAAAACTGAGACGCGCGAAGTCACCAAAATCTGCTAATTTAGCGGGCGACGTGCGGCGCAGCCAACGTTGTATTTCCGTTGTGGCTGACGTCTGTTGCATACGCAGTTTTTTTCTTGGTATTTTCTTTTCCAGGGAGAGCTTACCGGGCGGCGCTACGGACGCGCTCCACGTTTGAGCAAGCAGAGGCGAGCCTACTACAATAGAGATCAGTGGGCGAGACAGACAAAAAAAAAAAAAAATGAACGAGAACAAGAGAAACAAAAAGAGGAAGAGAGAGTTGTACGGAGATGAGCTTCGCTGGCACACCTGCCAACCGGTGCCAACCGACTAGCCGCCTGGGTTGCCGCCTACATAGCCTGCTTCGTTGCTGCTTGCGTTGACTGTTCGCCGCCGCGGCTAGGCCCGCCCTCCCTCCTCGCCCTTCCCCTCGCATCCGCGTCTTTCTTGGGTTACCGCTAGTAGATCACGTGACCCCTTGTATTCCACGTGGGTGCGTATGCAACTGACGTTGAGAGTACAATGTTGCCCGGCTGTGCCGAAGTTTCAGTTTCGGTTTGCGATTGTGGTAAATAACAAGATTGCACGAAAAATATTTTGCTTTTAGTGAAACAAACGGTCTAGGGTTGTTTTGAAGTACTTTTCACGTTTATATCACCCACTATCTCAAAATTTCTGAAATCAAGCGGAGTTGCCCTTTAAGGTATGGGAATGAGAGACTTTAAGCCCTCAAACGGACCCCCCCTTCCAACCAGCTCGTTAGGTCAGCCATTGCAATCCGATGCACTCGGCAGTATTTGGTGTTCTTTGATAAGAGTTGCTAAGGTCACCGGCAGGATAAGAACGCCAGGAAGGTTTGAGTCTCCAGCGTGAGCGTTCTGCCTCCGATAATACTTGGGCGTCTCGTGAGCCTGGAGCGTGCAGGTGCAGCCAAGACATGACTAAAGGCAACAATCGCATGCTGGATGCACAAAGAAGAGACCCTCTGCAGTTCTTGCCCCGTCAGTGACTGCAGAACATGCATGTAAGGGTCTTGCTGAAAGGAACTTCCCCGACTATCTTCCACGCTGATTCCAGATCCGAGACGTGGTCTCCAGGCCAGACATCGGACTGATGAGGCTCCAGTTTTGGACCGATGCCTTGGAGCGGATTTACAAGGTGACCCTCTCCCTCCTTTGACCTTTGGACTGGGGTTGTTCGCCTGAACCCCGGCTTCTTTGCAGGGCAGTGCACCTGAGCAGCCAGTCGCGCACGAGCTGGCTGCAGTCATCCGTTCGCGCAAGCTGTCGAAGCACTGGCTCAGCAGGTTGATAGAATCGAGGGTAGGTAAGCCCGCCACGGTTTGACCCTACGCAACGCTGTTCCACCAACAGCCTTTGAAGGGACAACAATGGGGTTTGAGAGCCCATTGAATGTTGAGGTATTCAAAAGCTGCTCCTGCATGGACACAAAGGTGGAAGTTGTTTGCTGAATTTTGGTGTGTGATTTGTAAAATGAGATGCTTGTTTTCCTCTCTTTGGATCCATCCCTGGAACTAAACGTTACCCCTATCCCTGTGACAAAGAAGCACAGATTTCTTGATAAAACATTTGATAAGAAGGTTGGGTAATTTTATTTCCCACTTATAAGCTCCCGAGCAAACATCTCTACACACCTCCTGAAGTCTTATTTTGCAAGATGTCTCTTGTGCTTGCACACTGCTTTGTGCAATCCCGTGTTCACCACACTGCAGTAGTGTATGGATTGTCTTGTGCTCAGTGTGTTGTATTCATTACTCCATCTTGGCTTGTGAATGTGACTATCAGCTTTCCATGCATGCTCTGTCCTCAGTCTGTATGCAGAATCCAATAAGTTTTCACCAAACAACTTTCATCTCTATCTTAGTTTGACATTTGCTTACAAGGTTCTGGCTGACCTTCAGCGTCCATTTTACTATCCACTTAGAACGTTTAGGTTTTCTCGTCTTTTAACGCAATGGCATTAAGGAGCTTGTGTCGCAGAAACGCCATCGTCGGTGGTGTGGTGGGAAAATCCTGATTGCTCGATAGGGTCATGACGTCCCAGCCATATGACCCCGCGCAGGAATTTCCAACAACCCACAATGCTCACGTGAAATGTTATGTCACACATGGAATGAAAGGGATTAATAAACATGACATGTAACGTGAATTAAAGGTCGCCGCATGTCTCAAATGATTTCACTTTACAGAGTCATTCCTTTGCCTTAAAGACCCCCGACCAGTTTGCGCTTTCCGCTTTTCCCTCCCCTCCTCCTCTCTCTCTTCTACCCTGTTCACCATTGCCTGTTTCCTCCTCCCCCATGGTGAGAAGAATCTTCTGCCCTGCAGAATCTTGAGTCTCGTCGTCGGCCTTTAAAGAAAAATATGATGAATTTTAGGCGGGATTCGAACGCACGACCCTTGGGTTGTGAGCCAGAAACGCCACTGACTAGGCCATGTCCGCCGCACTTCCTGCTCAGGAAGAGCATGAGAAGGCGATGTGAATGGGACCTGAGAGTGCTATCGCGTTCCACTCTTAAAGGCAAAGCTTAGGCGTCCTCCAAGATTTCTGAAAATAAGCTAAGAGCTGGGACACAGCTAGACTTTTGCATAGATTGTCTTCACACTTGTATTTTTCTCTGGAGCAGGTCACATAGTTCGGACACTTGTCTTTTTTGCACCCTGGGAGACACTGCTTACTGTTTGCAACTGGTCTCTCACAATGTTTTAACAAACATGGCATTTCCCATGTTGTAATTGAACGAGAGTTTTGTGAGGTGGTTAAGTATGATAGTTATACTTTTTATGTCAAGTATACACAGGGCATTTAGACTTGAACTTTCGACAACTCATTTTGCTTTGCCAGCATTTTTACTGAAAAGCTCTCTGCAGTGTCAGTGGTCATAGAATGCTTTATCGATAAAAAAATACTATGGACATTTCCCTTCTTTTTTTTTATTGTCAGCTTGCAATTGTTGCAATTTGCTTCATTAAGGCCCTTCAATGATTTTCGAACTGGTTTGAAATTTGCAGTGAAACGGTCTTCATCGAATGTAGGAACATGAAGAAAAAACATTTTTCATCAAATTTAAATTACTTTAGGAGTTATTAGCAAATTAAAAACAAAAGAAGTGAAACAGCTCTCCTTCATAAGTGTCAGAAAAATGAGATGATTGGAGGGCTGGAGCGAAGTGGCTGGCCAATGTCTTGTGGGTCAGGCTCATGGCTGCTGCACCAAGGATGGGCACACATTGTTGGCCTTGTCGCTAATGCCCCTTGCATCGTCGAAAGTTCAGGCTCAGAACTTGCGATGGGTTTTACCAATGAACCTAGGCCGTTTATACTTTGGCGTCTGCAAACCTAATGCGCACCGGCGTAGAACAATGTTCGTCGTCCACTTTTTCGCGCCCCTCCATAGAATCCAGCGCGGTGGAATCAAAGCAGCAACTCGGGGCAGAGAGGCGCACCGTGATAGGATCGAAGGAAAAAAAGGAGATACTGGCGATATTGAATGCAAATAAGCATTTATCTTCCTCTAATTGTCATGCAAAAGTCATTGAAGAAAAAGAAAAAAGGAAGAGATTACAGTGTTGTATTTGTTAAAGCATCTGCCGGCCAGCTTCGACGGATTTGAAGGACTCGCGTTTCACAGCAGCTTTCCGTGTTCAGTTATGCGTCGAAGGGAGTGGGTGATCTCTTAATTATGTCAATTACGCATTTGAAATTGCAGTGCACTTTGAATACGTTGAACCTCTTTCTTATGAACACTGGTATAGAGAATTATCGGATATAGCGAACTAATCACAAAGTTTGGTTGGTCATGCTTTATTTGGATGGGAGTTCTAGTTTTATAACGAAATTGAAACCGTGATATCTGACGCGCCATCAGTTATAGCTAGGGCTCCGTGTTTTCGTATAAATCCGAAAAACTCTGAAAAACGCCGGCCGGTAAAATTTTTGTCAATTCGGATTTATCCGATAAACTCCGAATTGTTATGTGCCCATGCCACCCCCCCCCCCCCCCTTTTGTTCCACAACAACAAAAAAAAGTATATATTTTTTTTTTTTTTTTTACAATTTGAGCTGCGCAGGATCAATGGTCCTGGGAAAAAGACACCATAATTATCTTTCAAGCCTCGGACCATTGTCAAAAGGGGGTCTTACGGCTTTTCTCGTCTAGAGTTTCTGTATATAGCGACCTACAGTAGCAGAGTTGCGCATTCAGCCTCGACGGGTGGTTGTAGCGCCGGCTTTCCTGCGTGCCCTGGATGCTTTGCTACTCACATGACTAAATTTGGCGAATAGCGGCGCCGCATGCGCCGACGCGCGTGGAAAACACAAAAAGAGGAGTAGAAGGCGAAAGCAGGGGAACATACGTCGGGGCGCCAGCAACGTCGGCGGAGCGACCATAAAGGTGGCTTTTTTGCACGACGCCGGATGCTTTGCTCCTCACGTGATGGATCTCGGCGAATAGCGGCGTGGGGAAAACAAATGCGCAACTCTGCTCCCCCTTCGGGGGGAGCATATCGAGGAATTCTAGTCTCGTCAAGGTTGCTTCAGGGAAACAGGTCATCGTACCATTCGTGTCACGACAAAAGCCACTCTTTTGGTTTCCAGCTTGGGCCATGGGATTTGGGATTTAGAGAAAGGAGAGGGTATGTTTCTGGGGGTAACAGTGAAAGCTATGAACCATAGGGGTTGTATAAAATAGGAAAGAGGGCAGTTGAAACTTTTCTATTACATCCATAACCACTCCACCTCGCGCAGCTGCGGGATAGATTGATGGGATGACTACGAGCTTCCTTGCGGCTACCTCCGGCAGTTTATTGATTTTAAGGTATCAACGCTTATCGAAGCCGCACTTGTGTGCGACTTTTGTCGTGGGACAAATTAGTATTGCCAATGACACCAACACCAAATTCAACTGAAGAAATCTTAATTGATAAAAGCGCGTTTTATTTTTTTATCTGGCGCACGTTTGCATCCGCTTATTATTTATTATTTTTAATAAGAAACACTGCGAAATTAATGTCTATATTTCGGAGAATTGGTGATTTACAAAAAATAAACTCCGATAAATAAAGAATTTTCACTCAAAAATAAGCTCTGAAAAACACCCTTTGAATTTCACGAAAAATAAACTCAGAAAACACTGAACCCCTGTTATAGTGAAGCAATTCCTGCTTTTCTTGCATCGCAAAATACTACGAAGTTTATTAAAAAGTAGAAAAAATACAAAAAGTAATTACTGAACGAAAGATTCCGAAAGTTTAGATTGGGGGCTTTATGTGCAAAAATGCGTGTTTCGGTAGGTAGCGCCACCTATGAGCTGAGCAAATATCGGTGGTTGTGCCGCTGCTGGCCTCTATGCGAGGCATCAAGAACCAGTGCAGACTAAAGTCAACCGCCAACTGCGACACTCGTGGCGGAGCCGCGGATGGCGACGAAGTGAGAAGCTGTCTCTCTGGAGACATAAGTGAAAGTTTTGAGGGTGGTGGACAGCGGTCAGAAGAAAAAATGACATCACTGCGGACTTCGAGCTTGCACCAAGCATGATATCTACCATGCTGAGTGCAAGGAACAAGATCGAAGTCTGCTGTGCAAACAACACCGTCAAGAATGACCGAAAAAGTCTTAGGCCTTGCCTCGACCCGGACGTGAAAGAGGCTCTGTTCTCATGGTTTAAGGATGTAACGGCGCGAAATTTGCCGGTATCTGGTCAGCTTCTTCAAACAAAAGTAATCAGTCTGGCGTGTCTGTTAGGGCATGATGATTTCAGCACGAGCAGGGGTTGGCTCCAGCGCGGTGGCTCCAGGTGAAGAGGCATCAGCCCACAATCACGTCTTCAAATAAATGGAATAATAGATCCAGCTAACATCGTTTCTCATGTTGCAAATTAATATCCTCATGCTTCAATATAATTTTTTTAGTGCTGCCTGGCTACAGGTAAGGATCTTGTGGTCCGCGATAGCGCGTTTTTATATAAGTGCTGTGCACGTTTTTGCATAGGCTCGTTTGTCGGACCATTCACAGGAATTTTTGTGTGTACTTTTGTAACGAATAACGCATATAGCGAACAAATTTCTGCTCCCGATGCTAGTTTGTTGTAACGAGGTTTGACTGTATACATTCCGGGCTTTGACTTAGTTTGCATTGCGCACCGCTTCTACATCTGACATTTGTTCTTTCGATCAGGATTCACTGCCGGCGAGGCATGTCTAGTGCATGATCACACATAGCTCATACACGAGGTCGCTCAAAATTATAATTAACTCTACGTTTGGTTCGCTCTCCGGCTTCAAGCTTTGGCTGGCATCTTGTGA